ATACTCATTTAATGCATAAAAAGAGTTAGCATGTAAAAATTTTTTTAAGGAACGTTCAAAGGATTTCTGGTTATTAGATAATTGTTTCAGCTCTTTATTCATAATGGAAGCAAATTGCAAATCATTTTTATAACTTTACTTACATGTACACATACTGATACATACATACATACATACATACATACATTTCATTTTATAAGTCCAAAACAAATGGACATGAAGGTTGTCATATAAAAAATAAAATACAAAAAATTTAAACAAACACAGATAACAGAATAATTAAAACTAATTGTTTATGTTATGCTCCACATATTCAGAAACTGTATAAAAGGAATTATTTATAAGATATAAAGACAGCCTATTTTTAGAACTAATTCTATTCTCTTTAAGGCTTTGAATGGTTATGGGCAGTGATCTGTTTAAGTCACAGTTCATTACTGTTACATGTTCATACCATTTCATGATTTTAAACAGTTTCCTATTAAAGGCATTTATCTCATTATTTATGCAAGCCCAATCTGCCAGGTCATGTCTATGTGGTATATACCTAACAGAATAATATTAGTATGAGTATTATTACTTACAAAGTTTAAAAGATTTTAACAGTAGAATGTGACACTGGTAAGCATTAAGATCTGAAATGGAATGGGACAATAAGAAGTATCTTGGAAGTATTTTTGCCTTTGGTAGATTTTGGCATCACACATAAAGTATTGTATATCGCAGGTGTGTTGGAATTTGTTCATTCTCACTCAAAAATACTGACACTTTATGTGGTTACTGTGCTTGTCTACCAAACCAAACTAAATTCTACAAAACTTATTTAAAATTGTATACAAAGAGCACTTTTTCACCTCTTCAACATTCTCAAGAGCTCATGTCATCTCACATGTTTCCACTGATGTGGGCTTTGGCCTCAGGTAAGCAATGAACAAGCTGTTATGGAATTAGAAAACATTTGTCTCTCCCTCTCTCTCTTTCATATCTGCTATGCAATAGTCTTCCATTTCTGACACTGATCTACAAGCAAGACTAATTTTGTACTATTTAATGAGTCTTCATTAAAGTGTGAACATAGCCATCCTTTCCTGTATGAGGTACTGGTCTCAAAATTGTAATATGTTTTACAGTGTGTGGTGCAATGAAATGCTATGGTGCAGAGTTCAGAAAGTGGTTTAAATGCACATGCAAAGACACCAGAATGAGGCATGTTTTATAAAGCACTGGATCCTTCCGCTCTGTTATGACTGTAATGGGGACACAAAGTGTGACCATTACTGTTCCATTAAGCAGTAGGTGTATATAAATGTGTATTTATGTGTGTTCTACATTAATGGTATTTGTTATTTTTCATTTTCTTTCACTGAAAATAAAGGTCAAAGAGGAAGAAAGTTATGGAAAAATAGAAAGAAAGATAACATAAGTAGGGAAGAAGATCCAAATAATTCCTTGAATTACTCATATGCTCCTGCTATGACAACATTAAGGAGATCAGATGACAGCAATTTACCTGGCATGTGGTTGAAAGCAGAGAAGCAAAAACATTGGAAGAAGATGAAGAAGAGAAGAGATAAAATACCCCATTTTGGATTTCAGGAAGATGTAAGTTGGACTTTTGATGTAATCTGCATTATTTAAGACTGTAGATTCTATAAGAAGCAAATAAACTCTTGCTCATTAGTAGTCATGGGTTTCCGTACTGACACCACTGGCAGACTGAATTGTTTAAATCTCAGGCTTCAGGGAAGAGACAAATGGCTGAAGTGATAGGCTCTCTAAAGTCATTCAAAGCAAAACTAGTCTCATGGATGTTGCATATGAAGGCAGAGTCTCTTGTACATATCCAGAGTATAAAGATAATGGATGGTGAGAATGATTTCAGCCCATCAGCATTTTCTGGCCACTCTCAGACACTTCTGCCATGAAAATTCTTTACTTGCCATGTAGAGGTCACAGATACTGCTGCATCCATTGGAAGACTCATTCAGACAAGGGCAGAAGACATGGAGCTTGAGATTTTGGAATGACAAACTGACATTCTGAAATCATACACAGTGGATGAAAACTTTGGCATTCAGTTGACCAAGAAAAGTTTTGTTCCTTAAAAAGTTCAGCATAGAAAATATCAAATTTTGGTTCCACTTACTTTTGTGAATCACTGTTTCCAATTATGAACATTATGAAATCAAAGAACAGATCTTGGCTTACTGATGCCTATCTTGACCACTATCTGTGAACAAGAAAGTCATCCTGCTCACCCAGTTTTTAAAGACTGGTCAATGAAATGTAGTGTCAAAGTTTAGATTAACTAACTTTCTGCAGAGCACAGGCAACGGATGGAATCATGAACTGACTTATCAGAGAATTCAGTTAATAATTTTACATGCAATATCAGGTACTTTTCTTTTATTTAATTTTATAGTTTCCTGTAATGTTGAAAATGTTGTTTTGTGTATTACTTGATGTCCATATATTTGCTTGCCCAGAAAAAAAAAAATTGGTTACATTAATTGGTCGGCACCAACTGCTCTGTCCTAACTCTGAAGTATGCCCTTGGGCACAAATAGGTTTGGGTCTACTGCTGTGAAATATGTCAGTCAGTTTTGTTAAAGGGAATTTACTTATGGCCTTACCCTACACAGCCACTGCTTCAAAACTCCCCAAAGGAATGCATGTGTGTATTCCATCACCAATGGCCCTACATCTAATTCTGACTGGGACTGTGGCGTGGCCTTGCCCCACATGCAGGTGAGATACTCAGCTAGAAAACTCTAGTTAACTGAATTGAACAGGGTCCTTCTAGAGAAGCTAGTAGTCATTCAGTTTGATTCTCTTTTGCCTTTTATGGAACTCAAGGATTTAATACTGCATTTACAAGCGCCCATCACTAGACCTTGTCTTGAGGTAGATGAATCCAGTGCACACCCTCACACTCTGTCTCATCTAAATTCATATCTAGGCCTCCTGAGTGGTCTCTTTCCTTCAGATTTTATGACTAAACTTTTGTACTCATCACTCAGTTCCCTCATGCTGTGTTTCCCATAATCTCATTTCATCAACCTTATAAAATTTGGTACTGTGTACAAATTATGAAGCTTTGAATGTTCACATTTCTCCATTCTCTTGTTACATCCTCTTTCTTTCACCAAAATAAAGTAACTTCTGCTTCATTAATGCTCTTACTGCTGTTTTCACTGAATATGACCTACAGAAACTTCTTATATGCCACACTCAAATTTTGTGTCCATTTTGTGTCACTTAGATATATTCATTCGCATTCCATAAAATCCTTGCAGGATTGAAATAACCAATAGATATAGAAATCGTCCAGAAATATAAACCTATCTTGCTTAGAAATCAAGCAGTTGTCAAAATAACAAGTTTATAGTATACAAGATTTAAGTCACATCTAAAAATTTATCTTGAAAATAATAAATAAGACATGAACAATTTTAAGATAAAAATTCAGTCGAAACATAGTTTACTAATCATGCTTATACAATATGACAGTTATTTAAAAACCAGTTTATATGTAATACAAGTTTGAAAGTTGAATATAATTAGTCATATTACAGTAACCAATTTACAATATAAGATAAAGGTAATAAAAAATACAAATAATAATATTTACAACTTTAAAACGGTATAATCAAATGAGATATGTTATAACAGATAATTGAAGTTATTTACAAAGAAACTTTAGTCAACTAACATATTGGTTAAAATTTCAATATAATATAAATATGCAAGCATTATCTCATAAAAAACTCTTCCAATGTATAAAAAGAACTAAAATACAAAGTTCCTTTAAATTACCCTTAAACCTTTCTATATCATTAGAAATTTCCTTAAGTGTATCAGGAAGTGCATTGTATATTTTTACAGCCATATGATGGAAAGAATATATCGAAATCTGAGGCGCTCTGTAATGTATAGGTTCCTTATGGCTGTGGTTTGTTAGGCCCTGCCCAAACTGTAGGACTGCTCCTTGCTGGCTGTATGTGATTGCTTATTCAGTATATTCACAGAGAGCATCTACCTGGAAGCTGTCTCATCTATATTGTGCCTGAGGATGAGACATGCTGTGGCAACAACAGACACACTTAACACAGATAATAATTAATAACACCAAAAGAAAAATAAACTAAATGTTCATGAAATAGCAGTAGGAGCACTACACACTGCACATCCTAGTAAGTGTTTGTAAATAACAGAGAATTCAGATGGCATAATGTTGATGTGGGGTTTGTTCCATATGTAATGAAAAGGTATGAATTGAAATAAGCTGTTAAATTTTTTGTGCACCATATATTTTTATTTCAGTATTTCTTATAGTGGGCGTTCTGCTCATAGTGAAGCTCATCTTAATAAGGGTGTATTGATTATCACCGATAAGGCAAATATTCTTGCTTTGCAGGTAACAAAGAAGAAACAAAAATCAGGGAAATTGAAAGATGAAGTGACGAAGAAAAACAAGAAGAAGTCTAAGGAAGAAAAGAAACACAGGGAAGAAAGTACGGTTAAAGGAAAGGAGAAAAAGAAAAATGGAAAACAAGGATCAAATAAATTTCGTGTTTCAACCATGGACAAAGCCGCAAAGAACAGAAACAAGACTAGGTTCAAACAGGATTTTATCCCTGAAATTCCATCACCTACCGAGGATACCACTGACATGGTGTCTGGAAGAAATAAGGAAAGGGCTCATGGGATTGTGTTGGATGTAACAGAAAATAATTTTAATAATTCAGAGGCTGTAAATAATGAAATTAATGAAGCTAAATTGCCTATCATCCTGCATCCCGTTTTATACACATCTGCAAATAGTGAACATCCGAAACCAGACATGGGAAAATCAATGAATGATAATAAAATACCCCTACTTCAAATCACAAAGGGTACAACACTGCTTGAAGTAAGTTCTACATCAGAATATGACAACATTTCTATAACAGCTGTGTCCGGTGAGGTTGTGAATCAGTTGCAGAATAGTACTGAGCATGATACCAGAATGCAAGCAAAAGATCACATGGAACTGAACCCTTCTTCAGTATTTGAACTAGGTAACATAACAGAGGAAGGTGATTGGTCATGTCTAAATGGGATATTCCTTCCTGCACCAGTTGTGGCCAATGCAAAAATCAAGTACACGTGGTAAGTCTATCATAACATAAATTATTAAGAATTGATATCACTGTATCAGTATAGACTGCATCAAAGACAGAGTGCAGAAGCAACAGAAAGCTCAAATTTAGTAGATAACACGCTTGTAACCTAACAATTCCCACTGAAATTTCAACAAGAAATCTAAAATATTTTTCTAACAGATTTTTGTCTTTCAAAAATTAACAGAATATACAAATAATGCTACATAATTTATTCCTAACATAAATAATGTTAGGACTGTAAAGTGACACCTGTAGGATGTGCTTGAGGTGAGATCCATGATGGTGAAGCCAGACCTCAAATCTCTTTTTAATATTTTCAGACATCCTTTGAGTAGTGTCATGTGATATTCAATGCAGCACAAATATTATGTTTTCTATTGGATAGCACAGGTTTCTCAGTATGGGAACATGAAAAATTCTCCCATTTAGGCGCTTCCATGGGTAGACTTCTGGCAGTGTGAGATATGGAGAGCATAAAATATGAAGAATGAGATGAAGACAATTGAGGATTACCCAAACTATATGGGTCATAGCACTGTCATGCTGACAGAGCTGAGTTGTGTATACATGAAGGTGGAAGACATTTCAAGCACCTCTTTCACACAAAAAAGAGAGAGCGAGAGATTATTAATAGCTCGTTTTTGTTTTTCTTATATATAACCCATCATGCTCAGGAAATATTTAAGGTGTGACAATGGAGTTTGAAATTAGAATAGCTGTAAATTTTTAGAAAACCGTCAGGGCTCACATTCATATGAACTTTCTTTCTTACTTTGATATTTAGAAACCCTTCTGTAGATGACATGTAATAGTGAAACATTCTGTAAAAAATTCAAGATGATGGGATAATTTCTAAGAAATAAATACTTAGACACAGCGTATGATGTGCAAGCAAACCATTGTAGATATAGTCTAAAAACTTTCTCACAACTTTGCACGTTTTCATCAGGGGAAAATACCTGGAAGCTGAATATGAGTGCCAGCATGACTACAAGATGGAACCTATAGAAACACCACGACTGGTGTGTAGCAAGCACAGGTGGTTGGGAGAACTGCCAAAATGTCTACCCTACAGTAAGGGCAACACTAGTACACCCAACAGTTGCACATGTGACCAGGTGTGCACTGTAGTTGGGATCCAGCTAGTTTGCTCCTGCTTCCGTGGCTTCAGAATGCAAGACACAACATGTCACGGTATTAGCATGCATCCTCTCTTAGCTAATATTTTTCATGATTTACATTACATTGAGGAGCTTCATAATGTTTGACCTTCAGTATATGTTATTAGGGTTAAAAAATACAGAAGAATCAGATGAGTGAGGCATGTTCTGTGCACAGAAAATATGAGANTTTTTTTAACTTGTAGGGATATATATGGAAAATAAATGGACAATGAGACAATGAGACAGAAGATATGAGAAATTCATAAATAAGTTTAATTTGGAAAACATGAATGGAAGAACCACTTCAGAGACCTGTGCTTGTTTGAGAGTATTATATTGACATGGATGTCGATGAAACCGCATGTGAGGTTGTGGAATGACCTCAAGAGGCTCAGGAGAGGTAGCAGTGGCAGGCTCTTGTGAATATGTAATGGACTTTAAAGTTCCATAAAGTGATCCATGTAGCTATTTAGCTAGTTAGTTAATTAGTTCCTTGGCTTGCAAGCTGATAATCATTTGAACTGGAAAAACCATATCGATCAGTTGATTCCAAAGTTAAGTAGAGCATATTATGCAGTTAGATTCATGTTACATATTAGTAACATTGACACTCTCAAATCAATCTATTTTGCTTATTTTCACTCTTTAATGAAGTATGGAATAATTTTCTGGTGTAATTCATCTGAGAGTTTAAAGGTATTTATATTGCAAAAGAAAATTGTTAGAATCATGATGGGTGTCAAATTCCATAATTCCTGTAGAGATCTATTTAAGAGACTACAGATCTTAACTTTTCCTTGTGAATATATATATATTCATTTATAAACTTCATTATAAATAACAAAGAACATTTTCAGACGAATGCAGATATACACAGTGTTAACACTAGACACAGACACTGTCTTCATAAACCAATTGCTAACCTCCCGTGCTTTCAGAAAAGCACACATTATGCTGGGATCAACATTTTTAATAACCTGCCATCTGATCTCGAAGGTCTTATGAATGAAAAGGCACGATTTAAAATAGCACTGAATCGATGCTTAAATACACGTTCATTCTACTCGGTTGATGAATACCTATTGTCTTGAAAATAACTTATGTATCTTTAAATAGCCCTGTTTGTAGTCACTGTGTATTCTTGGTTTCTCCTGTGTGAGAACTCCATTGGGTCTGTACATGTGTTTTGTATTTATATGACATATTCCACATCCTACAGTCATTTTGACTAACTTTGGCTCCGTGGAATGCAATGAAATGTAATGTAATGTAGTCAGTTAAAATTAACCACACTTCATTAGAATAAACATACATAACACCATGCTGCAGGTTAAAAATCCATTGAACACTGATTTGTGAAACCATCTACAAGAGAGTTATCAGAATACGAGTATAATCATGTCATGGTAGATCATAAATGTTGAGATGTGTTGAATAGACTATATGACTGTACAGGTATGCATGTCAGGCAGTTAAAGCAGATACTCGTACATGTTACAGATGTTGACGAGTGTTCTTATTCAAATGGTGATTGTGAAATTACGTGCCGCAACACACCTGGCTCATATCAGTGCACCTGTCCCTCAGGCTTCAGACTGTCAGCAGACCGCAAGACTTGTCTAGGTAATAATTATTTTAAACTTCAGAAATCTTGAAAAATGTTTAAAATAGAATTTTATCAGTGGCAAGTTGATATTCCATAAAGTGAAAATGTGTTAATTTAATTAATTTTCATTTTAAAAAGTTCTTCAGAATTAATTAAAATTGGGTTATTTTTATGTAAAACACTAGAAAAATTGTAAGATTTGAGGTTTTCATGGCAGTGACTATGAAGAAAGCAGTCTTCTGGGAATTGGCACCGTGTATACGTGGTGTTAACCGACGTTTCGGCCAGTCTGCTTTTACCCGTTCTCACAGTCTCTTCACCTGCGGATTTCTTATATTTTTCCTCCTACCCTGAAGACGGAGGCGATACGTTCCTCCGAAACGTCAGTCAACACCACATATATATGGTGCCAAATCCCAGAAGACTGCTTTATTCACTAGAAAAATTGTCTCTGCCTCTTCCAGATTTTCTTAAAGTAAACCATACCAAAACAATGAAACTGTGTACTTATTAAGAGAATGTTACAAGCATATGAGTGTATGTATACCTGTTGATGAATGTTCCACTATTTACCATTTTGTTTATGAATAGTGACCGCTTCATGAATTAAATGGTTGTGACAAATAAAAAGCACTGGACAAATATTGCTCCTTATTCTATACAGACCTGTTACTGGCATCTACCTATCAGGTGAAGAGAAACACAAACCATGTAGAAAAACTTTGATATATAAGATTATAGTTAGTTGGCTATGAAAAGTCAAACCAGAATGTGAAATATGTAAGTAAGGAAGTTTCTGTGACATGTGATACCTGCTCACTTTTCCAGCTTGCTCTGTTAGCCATATTCTGATATAGCAGAAAGAGCACATGGTTTAGGTTCATAGAAAGGAATTGTGTTGTCTTTGTACTATCCTGTAGATATAAATGAATGTTTGCTGAGAAACGGACATGGCCCTTGCCAAGGCTCATGCCACAACCTGCCAGGCAGCTACACGTGCAGCTGTGAGGGGATCATTGGTACTCACTTGGCTGCTGACAAACACACCTGTCAGGATGTCAATGAGTGTGCTCACAACAATGCTGGTTGTTCCCATGTTTGCCTCAATACACTTGGACGTGCTTTCTGCCTGTGTCCTCCAGGCTTCATGTTGGACACTGACTGGAAGACGTGTCATGGTAAGATAAGTTGTCACACAGTTGGCTTTATTATTTTATTACATTTAAAGCAAACTTCTGAAAGCATGTTTCTGGGCTGCAGATGAAACACCACATACAAAATAGGATATACAGGGTGTCCCAGGAGGAATGGACCAAACTTCGGGAGGGTGTTCCTTATGTTAAAGTATGCCGATATAACCCAAAACACCTATGTCCAAAGTTGAACGGTTACGGAGATAATGGCCCGAGAAAAGTATGGTCTTCTAGCGGGTCCACGCACTGTACCTATCAGCTGAGACTCTTATCTGTTTGTCCTTGAGTGTCGTGATTCACAGTTGCCGTAATCTCATGCGCTACTTACAGAGGCTACAGATTACGTTGCGGCGGGGTCGTGAATGGGTGGTAAATTAGTTGTGTGATGAGTTGCTGAAATATGCCTCTTGTGTTTTCACACGTGGAATATTGTGATATGCATTTTGTGTGTGGATTTTGTGGTGGCAATGCACGTGCTGCTGTTGAAGAATACCAAAGGCGTTTTCCCGATCGAAGGATTCCATCTCGAAGTGTATTTACGCNATGCACAGCATATGGATTTGTGCCACTGGATAAAAAGCTCATCCCGAACTGTTAAGCATCGTTTTATTCAGTGATGAGGCGTCTTTTACCCTGGATGGTGTAAATAATTTACGAAATGTGCATACGTGGTTCCATAATAATCCACATGAGATAATGGATACGAAATTCCAAAAGAGATTTTCCGTGGATGTACGTTTAATACAGTTATGTAGTCTGTTTATACCAGTATGAGCAGTCAGCCATATTACGTCAATGCTTGCCAGTCATGTGTCATGTATAGTGCTTGGAAACCCTAAGGACAATTATGACATGGCGAGCGAGTATTTTGTACTTCAATTTTGTGGCTTCACGTCACTCACAAGTTAGTTTGATGTTACGTACATTATTAACATTACAGAATCCACATATTCCTGCCAGTTTTAATATGTATTTTGTAATCAACAAGTGTGTAACAGCAGTCAAAGTTTGACACTTCTCTGGCCATTATCTCTGTAATCGTTCAACTTTGGACATAGGTGTTTTGGGTTATATCGGCATACTTTAACATAAGGAACACCTTCCCGAAGTTTGGTCCATTCCTCTTGGGACACCCTGTATAAAAGTCTTAGCAAGTCCATTCAGTTGTCTTAATACCATATCATCATCATTTCACAGTGAAACATGAGTCATGGTTCTATGTGTAGCTGACTTTCTTAATTTGTTAAAACTCAAAGAGTATTTATCTTTATATTAATATTATTATCTCTCTCATAGCCTATTGAGCAGCCTAAATAATCAAATTATTTACCAGTACAAACATTTCATTACTTAAAACAGTTTTTCCTCTTGTAAGTTCCTTCCCCTATATCCAATATTTTTATTTTTGAATTGATAATTTGTACATTGTAACTCTGATTTCATTATTTATTATAATTTGTAAACGACTGGGTTCTGTAGTTTATAGACAACTAAAATCTGATCTAGCATAATTAAATTGTTATGATGATGTATGATGATGAAATTGTTATTTTAGTTTTTGTTAGAGTGAGTATTTGATAAATCTATCATGATCTCGGCTGTGTGGGAAAAGTGGAAAAGGGCAGGGAAGTGAAAGAAGATACTAGTAAGTATTTACAACCTTGGAGAAACATAGCCACCACATTTGCCGCATAGTCTATCTCTAGTCCCAGAATTATAAACACCATTTATAGGTATTACATGTGGAACCTGACTTCCTCTGAGTTTCTCTGGGGTTGGCAACAGTCTCATTTTTGGCACTCAATGACACAGCCCACTGTGGTCAGTAAACCTGTGACTGAGAGCTTAGGGACTGTGTAGTAACTATGTCGATGGAAAAGTGGGAGAAATGGAGTAATGGGAGCTGTTCAGATTTATGTTCTTTGACACAGCAGGGTTGTTCGACTCAAATTCTACATTACTTTATCAAATTGTACATTTCTATGAACTGGATATCCCAGTTTTCTGATGTCAGATATAAATAACTGATGGCAATGCTAAGGTAATAGTGTAAGCATTAATTAGGATAATATTTGAGCTGGAATAGAAATGAGGTCATTAGCGTGGCATTTTCTGGGATGTAGTGTTCGAATTGAAACTTCAGAGCTGTGAAAGAGCAGTTAGTGAAAATATTTTCTGGACAGAAAGAATATTCTAAATCAGTTATTCACAAACTGTGGTCAGTGGTCCATAATTGAAGAATATACTTACACGGCATATAATTTAATATTAATTAAATTAATGTTTAAAATAAGAAATTGCAGCTAAATTTTCTGAATTTTGGAATTCCCAATATGAATTGACTGCACACCTAACTGCACTATCAAAGAAATAATTGTATTATTAGTACATAATGTTGGTACATCTCAGTTGATAAATCCTTAGCAGAAAAAGGTTTGAATTGCATGTCTTGATAGAGGGATAAAGTCACTTGCAGAATTTTCATACTTTTAATCCTATACTGTGATACAGAGAGTGGTGGAAGGAGTTTAGGTTCTTTTTATTCCTTCATTTTTCTGGAAATATTACAGTTGTTTTGTATATCAAAGTATTATTTTGCAGCACATGTCAGTGTGTTCAATTTTCTAATATTCAGATACTGATGAGTGTGCAGATCCAGAACTGCAGGTGGGAGGACGCTGTACTGGGGGTTGTGTCAACACACTGGGCTCATATCAGTGTGCAGATCTAAGAGATCAGGTTTCTGGTGATAATCCACCAAATACAGAACCCACAGATGCCATATCTTCCACACCTGCTGAGTGCTCATCTGGATTTGAGGTCGGACCATTTGGAAGCTGTATGGATACAGATGAATGTGCCATAAACAATGGAGGCTGCTCTCACACCTGTCAGAACACACTTGGAGGAGCAAACTGCCTCTGTCCCCCTGGTTTCATGCTTGGAAATGACTGGAAGACTTGTAAAGGTGCACAGTTTTTCTGAAATTCTATTTCAATTGTTGTGTGCGAAGTTTGGTTTTTTGCTTTGAGAGAAGAATGTGTACTGAAAGAGTACAAAAACAAATTTTTAGGGACTATGTTTGGAACTAAAACAGAGGCCATAATGGGAGGAAGGAAAAAAACATGACGAGTATGATAATTCATAATCTTCACCAAATATTATTAGGGTGATCAGATCAAGGGGAGGTAGGTGGGAAGAACATGTAGCATATATGGGAACAGTACATAATACATACAATATTGTGGCATGTAGATCCGTTTCTAGGACACAACCACAAAACAAGCATCTATAAAACAGCTGTTGCTAAGTAATGGCTCTGCAAACCAACATGTTTCCATGGCAACAACAGAATACAGCAGTAATGTAAGTGGTGTCAGCAGTTGCAGTTATTTGAGCATAATCTGAAGGCTCTCAAAGCCATCAGACAGTAAATATTATCGTGAATCCCATGGAACTTTGGAAGTAAGAATTACTCATATTGTGTTGGGAGAGGACCAGCAGCAATTCAGCAATCATTCAATCAATTAATTGCAGTTAGAAGACTGCAGTGTTCATTCATTCATGAATAATTTATACAAATTATAGAAGTGTAATATATGCACATAAATTCTGTTTGAATTGTATATTAAAATGTTATTTCTTTACTTGAACACTATGTCTTCATCACTATAGCAATGGAAGTTCGACGTAGGAAATCACAGAACTTCTCTATAATTTGTGAGCCAGGGTATGTGCAGACCAAAGAAGAACATTGTAAAGATGTGGATGAATGTGCAGTACAAAATGGTGGCTGCATGCAGGGCTGTGTGAACATTAAGGGCAGCTACCAGTGCCTTTGTGGTCGTGGATTTTTTCTTGCAGCTGATCATAAAACTTGCATAGGTAATTCTGAACACTTACTTTAATGCATTATAGGATATATTTACAATACGAATGTTTAAATCCACTTTCCCATGTCGAATAAAGTTTTCCATGATTTGTATTGATTATTACGTTTGAAATATTTGTAGACTAAGTGAAAGCTGTATAATGTTAAGTCATTAGGCTAGTAAGCCCAAAACTGAAGCAATACGCTGTAGAATTTTCTTGAAAAGCTGAACTAGATTGTTTTTATTTTCCAGAAGGAAGAATGGACATTGTATGCCCACCATTATCTACCCCCTCATATGGATATCTACACTGTACTCGAAGAGCTTTTATGGTGGCTCCAGAACGGTGGCGATCTCGTTGGCGTCGAAGGATTGTGAATCACGCAGGAGCAGTTTGTGAACTGAGATGTCCACATGGGTACAGGGTGCATGGGGAGTACCGGAAAGTCTGCGAGACAAGTGGCAGTTGGGCTGGTCCACAAAATGGGTTCTGCATGCGTAAGTTCCTTTCCAGCTACTAGAGTCTTTCGATCTCTTCACTCACCGTTTTTTACTACACTTTACTTTTTTAAAGACAAAGAAGCATCATACAAGATCACAATTAATCTTGGTTTCAGTTAGATTAATTTTATGTGAAGGAAACCATGAGGTTGACAGGACTGTGCTGGCATGTCAGTGCTTTATCCACTTATTCTTATACTTTAAATTGTCAGGCACTTCGTAATGCTGTACATCGTATTGTGCACTTCTACACAAATGCATATATATATATATAGTAATTTTCTTAGCCTTGAGATTTCATCATGCTTTTTCCATCAAAACTCCTCGGGTTGGATCAGCCTACAGTTTACAAGACTGCCATTCATTGTTTGGTCTTCCCTCTAGAAAATCCCCTAACTACATTTGTGTAATGTATGATAAGCACTGTGCTTAACTCTTGTTCTCTGCTTTTAATATGTGATATATTTGTTTGAATTTATAACTCTCAATAACCCCAGTGTTATTACTTCCTTCCATTAGCCAGAGATATGCTCTGACTGTTTGTGTGCCCTAATTTCGTATTCTATAGAATTGATGTCACTGGTGCTCAATGTGGGTATCATATGTAGCACTTATGGGTGAACTGAGAAATACATACAGAATTTATTCAGAAAACCTCAAGGAAAGACACCTGGAAGATTTAGGCATGGATGGAGATATAAGATTAGGACAACTCTAACAAAATAAGGGTGTAAGGGGGTGAACAGGATTTTTGTGGTTCAGCATAGCTCCTAGGCTCTTGTGAACACAGTATGAACCTTCGGGTTCCACACACGACAGCAAATATACTGCTCAGCTTAGCGACTGTCAGTTTCTCAAGGACTGTGCTCCATGAAGTTGGTTATCTTAAGTGTTTGTCATGTTGTTCCTGTTATGGGTTTTAAAGAAACATGTTGTTAATGGTTATGCATTACACCATCTTGGTGAACATACCATAGTTAACAAAATCGGTTCAGGAAGTAAATTTGCGTGCACTAATAGAAAATTGTTCAAGTCTACACAAATATCCAGAGAAAGACTTTCATTTGTCCTTAAGTGGAATATTCATATAATAATTATTTCTGATGCAGCATTCCCGAAGCCAAAGATTGAATGCCCAGGTAACATCAGTGTGGAGATTGAACCAGGTCAGGTTACAGCGTTTGTTGCCTTCCCACAGCCTGCTACAGATGTTGACTGGTTCAGGTCAGTGTAAAGTCAAGGAGTAGGTTCCTGTGAATCCTTGGATTCAATAAAAAGCAGGGAATTTCTTAACCAACCTAGTGAGTATCAGCTTCTCAGGAACTCTATTCCATGGAGTCAGTTTGATGGCATGCTACCAGTCATGTCTTGTAATGGTGGTGCAGCTGTCGTGACTCCACCTTTTCCTTCTAATCATCCCTTTCTGGGAAAATCTTCTAATTCATAATAACAGACTTATTTGCCTCCTTGTCCTAATGTTTTACAGATTATATCTCATACAGAGTGTCACAGCTTCCAGTTGGCTTGGGAGTTACTTAGCAACACTCTTTCTGATAAAAGCCTAATTGTCATTGCACAAGTCATACTAGTGGTTTGTTTGGTTGGCCTTGACTGATGTGCTTGATGTATCACATGCAACATGATATATTTTTCATGTCATCGTTTGCAGTAATGTATCCTAACTCTCTAGCATCTATTAGTTCTTTTTTACACCATAACACTGATAGTAAATACAAAACCATGAATATTTTGTATGGTCAACACATGGACAAGGTGCTGTTGATCACATTGCTCAGAATTGATACATTAATGAAACTGAAGAGAATCTGTTTTACTTAAATGAGATATTCTGATATAGGAATGTGGTTTCCAAACCAAGCTGGGGCAAACTCTTGGAGGCTGATCTTCGACCTGGATACTGGCCAGTGACATTCACAGCCCACCATCCAGTGTCACGTCACACAGCGTCATGTACACTGTTCATCACTGTCAGCATATCAAGTACACCTACAGAAGCACAGCAGAATAATACTTAACAGCTTTGGTAAATTAGTATTTGAATGCTGTAATGACCTAAGTACTTTTGGCAGAGTACTGCAAAGTTTTCTCCAGCTGTACAATGGACCAGATTTATATTTCTCATTTTCATGTCCAACTAATTTCCACAGAATGGTTTTTCAAGGAAATGATTTATATCCTTGTTTCCCCCAACCATTCTGACAAAGAAATTCATAATGGATCAGTATCATATCAGAAGCTGCACCAGACTGAGAGACACAATCAGATGATGAGAATTCACTGGAAGATAAACCATGCTTCAGGTTCACAGATGTGTGTTCTTTAAACATCCTCTTCATAAAGAGTGACATTAGTAATGCCTCATTCACAGAAGGTAACAGAATAACTCATAATATATAACAGTGCTCTGTCATTTGTACAAGTATATATGAGTTCTGAAAGAAAAATGGAATTTTACCTTTGATATAAATTTGTTTGCAATTTAACTAAATCTTCTATGCATATCGGTTCATCTTATGTGTATGTCTCAGGAAATTGTACAAAAATGATTTTACGATTATGATACAAGGATGTACAGACCTCTGTCACTATGATCCATCTGTGAAGACTACAAGTTACATGTTTCAGTATTAATCACAGCTGATACTGCAAGTTGTTCTCTGTGTCTGGAACAGTATTTTATAACTTATGTTTGTTGCATACATTTAGGGTAATGAAGCACATGTAAGGCTGCTGTGCACGTGACATAATCTAAGTTCTTGATCCTTTCATCCTTTGGTGGAAAATTATTTTTTTTTAATCAGAGCAGAAAGCTTTATTTTTGCAGACATATCTGTTTACTGTGGAATGATTGATGTGAGGGGCATGTGTTCTGAGTGAAGCTGAAAAAACAGATAAGGAATCCACAAAACACTGAAGGTTGCATGCGAGATTAAATTATAATATCAGTGTTAAAAACATGGCATAATTTGCTCACTGTAAAAATGATCAAATTATCAAGCATGATGATGCATGCTTACCTCATCCATTGACATCACTTTAAGAGGAAGCACTTTATCTCATTTGTAACATAGTACATGGTGACAGGTACATGGCAATCTGTGAAGTTATGTTAGAATCTGGAATCTCTTGTGACATGAAACAGTTTTAGCTTATGATGTAAAAGCAGTGAAGGCAGAATATTTCCTATAGTCATTACAGTGCAGTTTGACTCAGACTCTACATGGCCATGCACAATGTCTCATTGGTTCCCTGTACTCCACAGTTAATGGTTATAACAATGATTTTCTTTTTGTACCCTAAAATAAAAAGATATCCAGACGTGTCAAAGGTCACAGAAAGTGAGATGCAGAAATAGAATCCCATCCTGAAGGAAGAGGCCAGAGGTCCTACAACAAATGACAGGATAATTGGAACAAAATGTTTCGATCTACAACCTCAAGTCAATCCCACAACCTTTAGATTATACCTCCTACATGTACAATTTGGGAACTGCTGGACAAATGGAAGGATATTTGTAAGTATGAAAAGCCTCATTGATTCTTGGTACAGTGCATGTTTGACCAGTTGGTGTTCTTATAATATTAGTATCTGTCTAGTCAGTTTTTATTTATTTTACTTTAAAATAAAAATTAGTTTAGCATATAAAAACATTACTTAATATTTTCAAGAACATTTGGGAAACAACTCTTACAAACATATGGCACACACAGTCATTCACTAGTCTTCTGTTTCTGTAAGTTACAGTTCTGTTTCTTTCATGTTTATTCATTCACTGAAAAAGATTTAGCGCACATCCCACTATGAACAGCAGTGTCGTCTGTGGTTCTGAGAAGCCCCTATTCTTTGGTTCTGCCAATTTTTGGATCGTCGTGGCTGTTGCCCATTGTAATGTCGCAGCTGACGATCTGAAAAAAAGAAAGAAAGAAAGAAAGAATCTGGCAAAAGTCATGATAAAGCTCGGGAAGATATATACTGTGTCAACTGTACAGATTATCTTAAAGGATTTAATAGCTCACAGAGAAAATTTCAGAGCAAAATATGTAGTGAATTTTTTCATGAAAATAAATGGGAGTATTTTTAATTGCCATGTCTGAATATTATAGAATATATTATATTCAAATTTTATTCTTATAAAATTTACTTCATGCAAAGAATAACTAAGTGCCAAAACATGGANTATCTTCTATATTCTCGGTAATAAAGTTAAGTGCTTCAAGATTTGTTTGAATCTGACCTGGTGTCCAATCCTCTTCTACTCCATCATATCCGGGCTCCACGGCTTCCCATTGCTTCCTCTTTCTTAGGGTTAGCGTTACGCGATGTTTCCAGATTGTGTAGTTATCGTCATTTAATGGTTCTATGCGTCTTCGGTAAACTTCTTCTGACATCTTGAAATATTATATCGTCTTCTTATATCGTCTTATTTACTTCCTTTCTTCAAAATCCCATGCACCACGTGGGACCGAGAAATGGCCGTCTTTGCCGTTTAGGTCCGTACCTTCACTTATCCTATTGTCTTCACTCGTCTTCTGAGTCTCCAATCCGTTTTATCGATGTCCGGCGCAGTGCTTGAAGACTCTGGGCCCATAACCTGTTGTTTCCTTTGTGAAATCACATTGGATCATCGAGGTAAAAACGGATAAGAAATGAAACGCATTCGTCCAAATCTAACGTTTACTAGAGACTGAATGAACATTACAAGATACCAAAGGTACACACAAAAAGAAAGTAGCAGTGGGTGTGGTACCAACTTATGAACAATATATATCACTAGATAAATATGGCCAACACTAGAACTATAGTATTACAACAATAACACCTCAAACATTTAATGACCACAAAATGTTCCTTCATATTGCTGTACTTCCCCACAATCTGAAGGCACTTCACATTGGGAATGCAAATATTACTAGTCATACCTGTGTTAGTGCTGGCTGAGTTGTCATTATAAGCTGGAATACCACCCTGATGAACAGTGAAGGTCCCAGCTATTACCTGTGTCCGTGTGCGACGGATGAAGCATCCTGCTGGCAGCTGCCACTGCAATCAGACATTAGACTTGGTCCCTTGCTCTGCAGTTGTAACAAGAAAGTAAGATTGAGCAAACCGAAATGTCATACTGACCGGGAGGCTTGTAATGGCACTGTTCACTGCTACTGGTCTCTTCGGACATACAACAGTCTTCCTGGCATAGCCACCAACATGCTATTGAATGAAAAATGTTCCTATTAATCTGAGTAAATACCATACCCTCAGCTGGAAGATTTTAATTAGGGATGAATTGTTACCAGCTTTGTTTCACATGTTTCATCAGCTTTTAATTCATTTTCCTTATAGGATAAAAATTTAAAAAATTCCACAGATGTTCTACTTCTGTAATCTAGGGCAACTTCCTCTATTCTTTTATCATTGTAACATCACTTTTTATTGTTTTCTATTACAGGGCTCTTCAAGTAGAAACCTCCCTGCTTTTGACAACTTTCTGCAGGTCACAAAATGTAAAACAAAGTACGTTCATGCTATTATGGGCCCTACTTTTGGCTGATCATACAATGTAGAAATAGGATGTTCTACCAGTGTTTTAGAGATCCTTACTGCCACTAGACCACGGGAATTTTACACTTGACATTCATCACATCAGTCTGGGGCCTTTGTTGATTGTACTGATAGGAATTGCTGGATTGCTATTCTGCCTTGAAGATGTAGATAGTAGGGATCTCTGAAATGTCAACAATGTAGCCTACTTCTACATGCTCCCGTCACCCATGGACAGGCTCCACATTTGTGACATTGAAGCTGCTTATGGACGAATATAGTAGTGCACTAGAGGATAGGAAAACTTGCTTGTTTTAGAGAGAATTGTTTCATTTTAAAAATATATTTACAGAACCCTGAAATAAAACATATTATTGTTTATATAAATCTAAACATTTTTCTTTCCACACTGTCATGGAATTCTAGTTTAGAAGCTTACCTTTGTATGATAAGCAGAAGAACTTGGGTTTATACACAGGCTAAATTTGGCATTTCTTATTGTCTGAGCGCGCACAGTACCATAAGCATAATGCTACAGCAGCTAACCAGTAAACACTGTGTTGAGCTTTGAGGTGAATTATTGACTGGCTTGTGGGTTTCATCCTCCTATTTGGTTATATTTAGGATGAGGATGCCTTGCATTAATTTTGAGCAAAATTTGAACCAAAACCAGACAAAAGTATTGGTGGTATATTTTACTACTATAGTATAGGAGAGTTATGTAGCTAATCGATGTACTTGAATCATGTAAGTAAAAAAACAATTTTTATTCAATCCCATGTTCTGCAACTAAGTAAATATTTATTAGCCATTCACTCTTCTTTGCTAACCTGTTTCATGTGCTGACAGTAGCTTCAGCAAGAATAGGTTTTTAGCTTCATGTTCATCATGGAACTTGTCTTCTACTGGCAGTATATATATTTTCATCAGTATGTACATGTCTTGCTTGTCCATCCAAGTCATTGCTGTCAGATTACCTCTCGCACCAGCATGTGTGTCACTGCATTTGGATTTTAATATTGTCATGAGAAGGAGTGTGACTCTAGACGGGGTTTTTGATTGGTGATTGGATTTACTGACCACCTTAACACACGACTCATAACTACAAGTAATTATAGCCCCTTCACTAATCTTCACACTTTACAGATCACTAGAGCACATGCTAAGCCCTCTCAGTCTGCTGTGTCTTCACCAACCCTTCCCTGGTAATGGCTTCTAGCAGTAGAGATTCTTCATTTACTACACTCATATTGTTATTGTCTGGCAAACAGCTCACAACTGAATCGACTGCACCAACTCAGTCTTCTCTTCACAGACTCCTTACAACTCTCTGAACCATAGCTCCAGTTGTCCTCCTTGTAACATCTCGGGACAGACAGCATAGAAAACACTGTTCATTGTTGTACTCCAATTGTTTCCATGGGAACATGTTTATTTGTGAAGGCATTACTCAGTAATGGCTGCATATATTTGCTTATTAAGAATCTGTTGCCTAGCAGCCGATGTTGTTTCGATGTTTGTTTAACAGTTGTTACACAGTAATATTTTAATGGAAAATTATCCCCTCCCTGTATGGCTTTGCAGTTTTGTCTGCTATTTCAGTAACAGGACAGGTCTTATGTGCAGGTCAACAACTGAATAGGGAAAGGAAAGATTTGCCATGTAAAGTTGTTGCCTATTCCTCCAACTCTGCTAATGAGTCTTTTCACTACAGCATCTGTAACTGCCATTGTCTGTGTTGCCTTCTGCCTGACCTTTCCAAAGTATCTTATAGAGGAAGCACAGCCAGTCATTTCATAACAGGTCTGTAAGTCTTTATACCACAGCATTTATATTTCTTAGGAATATATTGCTTAAAAATAACTCTCCTTTTGAAAAGAAGGTAACTTCATATACAGCAATATATACTGGTAGACTATAAAATATAGCATAGGCGTTAGTCAGCATATCATAGATATAATTTTTCAAAGACTGTCATAATTCTAGCCAGTTTCATTTGGTTTTTATCATATTGTCACATGTTTAGTTACTGAAACTTGTTGGTAACATGTGTAAGTCCAATCCCACTTCTGACACCAGTTGTCGCATGTTGGGTGTATAACGCGACAAATAATTTCACGCCTTATTTGATATAGCGAATTTATTCCACTCGCTCTTACAATCACACAATTTACAATCTGACAATTACAGCCATTGGCAGTATCACAAATACTCCAACAAAAGATAGACAGCTATTGACTGGTTAACTGACTCACTGCTGGCTAACTCGTAACTCGTAACTGCTGCCTTGAGAACTCACTTCGGCAACTGATACACTTAACACTCTTCAGCAGCTGTGTAGTTCCCTTATAAACCCTCAGCCGGACAACGGGAAAACAGTTACGTAATAGGCACCACTGTTGTCAGACGCCGTGTTTGCCTGTTATGTAATGGGTACCACTGTTATTACCGTCATCTCTAGCAACCACTGTTTACCCGCTTTGCTTAGCAACTGGTGTTTACTCGCTTTGCATAGCGACCAGCGTGCTGGGACTCGGCTCACTTCGGCTCCGCTCGGCACGTCACAGCTGGCGGGGAGGGAGGGGCGTCATCCATAGCACAACACGTCACAATATTTTCACAAAAATACAGAAATGCTAGTCAATTGCATTTCATTATGCTACTGTGAAATGGATAACAGAACAGTTCAACAGCAAACCAGTAATCTTTCAATGTATGCCTGACGACATTTGTTCTGTCATGTGAATAACTATACCATGATGTCTGGTAGGAAATGATTTTATTAGGCACTGCCTGCTCTTAATCATAAGTGAATAAAATCAGCCATTTGACTCCCATTGCCTGCTTTACCATTTTCTCCTCCTCCATTGGCATCCCTCCTGTGAAGTCTTCTTCCTGAGTCCTCTTCTTCTCAGTTCCCCACTGCACCATTTCAGGAGGCCAACTAGAAGTGATTCCTGAACTCCAGCTCATCAGGCATTATCCGTTATATAGCCTCCCGCCAGACCACCAAGGTGACACTGTTCTGAACAGTATTTTGGCTTGCCTTTGCCTAGCAATGGAAAACTCTTTGATCTTTCTGAGATTCCAGCATTCTATAGTTTTTGGACTTTAGACGTCCTGTCACATTATTATAGGAACCAAAATACATGCATCCCCTATATAACCACATCAGGAAGTCGTGAGCATCCAGTGTCATTGTAAAGTGTATCTAAACACTGGTTAAAACATGTATTAATTGCTGCCACTTGAATCACTGCAACGAAGAGGAGGATAACGATGATAATTGGTTTAGAATCCTTGTGCACACTGGGTAATGCTTGCATCTTTGATCCACTGACACTCCAATGAAAGGAGGTACACCACCAGAATTTTAAGGGTGTCATGGACTTGGTAATATTTTATCTCAGCTTGCCCTCACATTACTGTAATCATTGGCTTTCACTGTCAGATTAGGTTGCTTCATCAGAGCCACTCTGCAAGATTAGCTCTCAGCTGATATATTGTTATGAAAGAAATGTATGACCAATAAAGAATAATGAAGATTTATGTTTATGAACCTTAGTAAGATTTTGGAATATGTGAAAGTGGGAAAGGCTCTTCTGGAGAATTTGCCGTATATATTCAAGGAGTACAAAGAAAAAATTAAAATTGTAAAAGTAGATTTCAGTAATTATTGTGCATGTACACAGACCAGGCTAATTGCTTGTGTAAAAGGCTAGCCTGAAGATTTCTATGCATGCTGTAGAACTGTACTCTGCTGTGAAATTTTAAGCCTATTTCCAGTTGCCTATGATTAATGATGGTTTTGACTTCTGTTTTATGTTTCATCTTTTTCTGTTATAAAAGTTGTTAATATTTATTGTTCTGTGAAACTCTGCACATTTCTTAATGCTTTGCACTATTTTGAGAGTTATCTGACAGCTTAATATCAGGTTAGGTGTTTTTAGGGGTATCACTTCCAAGCTCAGCTTACAGTGGATTTTGGCAATGAAGGTGATATCTGACATCCAGCTCTTGAAAAACTTTGTTAGCTCGAAGCCTATCTTTGGTGTCATAACAAAGTCTGAGTGCTATACTGCTCTGATGCTCGAAGGAAGAGGTTCAGAACTAAATTACTTTTATATTCATGATGAAAGCTACCTTAAAACTATTGGCAAAATAACTTGTAAAAATAAGCAAACATGCTGGCTTTATTGTGAAGAACAGGCACAGGGTTCCACATATACTTACAGGAGGCATTTCCTTCCATAAATCGCCATCTGAAACAAATAAAATAAACTGATGCAAATATTTCTCTCCACAGTTTCAAGTTGGTTCATTCTCTGGCAACTGCAAATATCTACAACATGAAAGAGAAGTTATCACCTCTCACCATTCCGGAGGCTCCACAAGTTCTGTAGACTTTAATTCTGCAGGTTCAAGGATCGTCAATCAAAGGACAGAAACAATGTTTGTACATACCTTTAACATGCACCGAGAAGTGGCACTTTGCCCTATTGCCTGCAGCATCGTGAGCCAAATAGTTTACATGATGTAACCCGGGAGACATCTGTTGCCCTGGTTCCTGCAAGTGTAAAGTTCACACAGTGACATTCTTTACAGCTTTGCCATGGGTGCACAGGAAATAATATGTACATTTAGTTCTGTTCTCATATTTAACCCTTTTAATAACAGGCTCCAAAGAATATTGTATGTGAACAAAATGCCATTGGATTTGGAATTTTTAAATGTTTATTTGATTTGGATTTCTTGAGTGTAAGTGATCAGACAGTATTTGGGATCGAAGTGCCTAGTAGAATATTTGGACCTTAGACAGAGTACAGAAAATTGAGAAAATTACAGCATGAACAGCTTCATAACTTGTGACCTTCATCAAATATTATTAGGTCAGTCAAATCGAAGAGTATGGTATGGGCAAGGGATACATGCATGGTAGAGATGAGTCACAATACAGCTAAGTCTCTCCCACTTGTCATTTTTGTTGTTAAGTGTGTGATGAGCTGAACCTCCAAATCTGCAATGAAACATGACTATCTTTTGAAAATTCTTTCACCCTTTATTGAGGTTTTTGTTTCTCTCATTCTTTCAGTTTCACATAGATCCACAGTACTGTAACAGATGTACTCATAAAGATGGTACTTCCCTCTTGGAAGAGCTTTACCCAAGAAGTCAATAACAAAGTTTTCTTATGATTTGAGGTTCTTACAGCAATAGTTATGATGAACTCCTTCTCCTGGAGTGTAACAGCGTGTTATACGTTGAAAGTCAACTGACATTTCAGAGGAACATGTCACTTTCACCTTCAGGATCAAAGAATAAGCCGAGCAAGAAACCAATATGAAAGCAGGTGTCAGCTGGCTTCTTGCTCAACTTATTCTTCGACCCTGAAGTTGGAGACAACATGTACCTCCAAATACTTTTTGACTCTCAACAGACAACACAGTGTTATGTTCCAGAAGATAGAAGCTTCCAGTTGTCTTAAATATTCCTCTTGATGGACAGAAAATATAAGGAAATCAGTAGGTACTGAATGATAACTTAACATAAATGACTGAAATTAAAAGAGAATAAAGATAAATTGGAGGTAGAAATAACAAAAAATGTAAGAAAATTAATCAAAGAAGGTTGGAGAATAGGTGATGATAAATCACACTTAGATCATATAACATATGTTCACTGACATATATCTGATAGTTCTTTGTAGGGACTAATGCTAGAAGCAAGACTTCCTTGTAGTTTGCAAAGTTCTAATTTTATAATACATCATAACTAATTAATAGAAAAATAAATAAGTTTGTATTTTCTGCTGCATAATATTTATAATATTCCCATTGCATCAGGTTACCTTAGATTTATATACTCGATCCACTCCCACATTGTCAGTGAAAATGGGTTCAATCCAGGAAACAGTCCTAGATGCCTCACCAGGCAGCAGCTGTACCTCAAATGACTGGGGACAGTCTCTCACACGTGGGCTTTCATTATCTGGAAGGGTTTAAGAACCTTGATGTCAATGACTGGTGGATGGACCCATTTATTTATTTATTTTTAGGTTCTTCAGTGATGCTATGTCAACTGTTAACATTATCTGGTCCTGAAAGAGCTACATGGTAAAGACTGTGGGTCAGTGTTGATCATGAGAACATAAAACACACTAGAACGAAAAAAACAAAATGATAAACTCACATTGTTATAACAAATAATTGCTTAAACTAGCTAAATGTTTATATTATAGGAATATATGTGTATTCAAATTCAGTATTGAGTATTACCAATTGTGATTCAAACAGACCTCATCAGGATTATCAGTTATGCTGTATAAAAAAAGTCATTAGTACAAAAGGCACTATAAACAAATGGTTGCAATATTATACAAAAATTAGTAACATTATTACAGACAAAAGAACAGTATGAATATAGATTAATGAAGTGTGTAAAATTGATTAACTATCTATATACCATTTTCTGTGTTTCATCTTCACCGTTACAAAACAGGAGATGGTCTCTTGCAAGGGAATCTGACAGTCTGGTTACTTCAGTAGGGACTAGCATATTTTAGCTTAACATAGGTCTAATTCTTGAGGATTGTAACAAGCAATACAGAGAAGAAAGGTACATACAAATGTCAGTGAAAAAGCTGAAGAGAAGAAGCCACTTGGGAGACCTAAACATAAATGGGAGGATAATGTTTAGAAGGATTTTACCCCTTGAGAACTTGAATTTAAATTCCCAGACATTTACCACAAACCAAGTGTTTTATGCCCTTAAGTTGTGATGCATTACATTGACCAAAACATTTAATCACTGCACTACTGTGACTGTAGTCCTGAACCAGGTAAGGAAACTAGGCATGACTGACTCAGCACAGGGTCCAGAGATTGGTAGCAGTGAATGCAATCATGAACCTTCAGGTTCTATAAACACAACAGAGCGACTAGCAGGTTGTCAAGAAGGACCGTGTCCATTATTTTAGTTAGATATTTACTGTGGGGCTGTGATAGTCACATTTTGGTTCATCACCCTTCCTTTTTAGTAACTCCAGCGTTATATGATATCAAACTTACCTCTCACATAGACAATCACACTACAAGAAGCTGAACTGTTGCTAACAGGACTGTGGGCCCAGAATGTGACTTCTGTCTTTCCAGGATACAGATCTGCCTCTAGTTCCTTGCCCCAAGCAGGGATTGAATCCACATACCTGAAAATAAAACCTGTGCAGTTGGAATTCTGATGTGTCAATGCCAGGATTAGTTTATCTTCACCTGTTTATTACATTCACCAGTTGTAGCTTAATTAATAAGACAAAATTATTCTCTTATACAGGACTACCAAAGATGTAAAACATTTTAACCATGATCCAGGTAAACTGCTGTTGGCTTTCACCAGCACCGTCAGTCTTGGTTCTGGGCCCTGCAGAACCCATGATCATATTTTCTGTCTTCTGACTCTCATTTTTGACCAATTTATCATATCCTAAGATATTTATGAAATTCCTAAATGTTACTGATTGTTGTATATTCTTTGAATAAAACGTGGAATGGAGTTATATCTGTCTGAGTCCATCCATTCACATGTTTCATATTCTGAATTTCTGAATATGTTCCAAATAAATTTGATGCTGGAGGCAAATTTAACTTTGGTTCCTAATAATCCAATAATATCACTACTTGACGTGAAGCTGAAATCAAACTCAGTTTTCTGTAACGCAGCTAACCTATGCTTACAATTTTTGCCTTCACACTATTTATATTTTATATCACATACTGGTATCATCAACAGTGATCTGTATTTCAACTGGCATGTACACATACAGTGTGACTCAGCATGGCACTTCCCAATCCAATGAATTTAAACAGAACTTTCACTCTTAATATATATGTTACGTACAAAAAGAGAGTAAGAAGAATTGTACCACAGGTGTCCCATAACTACCTGAAGAAAATTTTGATGCGTGTTTAGAGACTGAAAATAGGTAGAATGATCAGAAAGATATAGCTTCTAAGATACAGACTCCTTACATCAGGAATAATAAGTATTATAATAATCTTTATGTTTAGAAAAAAGATGTCAAAATTACGGTTTTAAAGTAAATGATGAAAATAGTCTCCAGCGATTCCTACACACAGTAGGGCACAATGCATTAAAGACTGCATGATGTGCTAAGAAAGTCCATACTTTGTACAGACAATGGTATGATGGTTCCAGGGTAGACCATCCCAACATCATACTTTGGTGGAAATCTGTTTCTCTTATGTACAGTTGTAGCCTGCTCTGTATTATGTCAGGATGCACTACTGTCACATTCAGAATTACCTTGGTCACTTGTACATGAAGATTCACTTTGTAAATCTCACACTTACACCTGTGACAATTCCTGTAGTTCCACTTCTACCAGCAACATTTCATAACGATAGAGTTCTGTCTTAATTTCCTGAAGTAATCTCACTGAAATGTGTCAATACAATTGAATTGCATGGCACACAGTGTCTTTCAGTCTTCTTTTAGACATATTTCCAGGGAATAAACAAAAAAAAAACATGGTTTTTCAAAATAATAGTTAGACACAAATTACTAGCTAAGAAATATTTTCTGAACAGTTTAAATCTGATTTATTCATTTGTTCACAGGCAGAAATCTATTTACGCAATGGGATACAGGCAATTTACGTACATTTCATGTAAGTGGAGTATATGCGAAAATGCATATACAGGAAAAAATGACATACAAAAACTATGATCGCCGAAAAAGGAATACAATGACAGTATTCTAGATATGATATAAAACAACTACGTGCATGGGAGCACAAAGAGACAGTGAACAGTGGAGTGGTCTCCCCACAAATTAAAAGTTGCCTGATGATGGCCCATGTATGGCCAAAACATGTTGCAAAATTGGAAAAATGTTATGTAAAAACAAAAAGACATTTTTAAATATTTTGATAGTCACTTTTGGTGTATAAGATATACTTGCAGTGTCTTAATGACATTTTATGATATTTAATAACATTTTAAAGTATTAAAGTCACACTTTTAGTGGTTAACATTAGGTGTCTTTCATATCATTGTTGCATTATTGACGGTGTACTTGAATAATAAGAATGTAAGTGCCAGTTTGTTGTTTTTGCCTTTGGTTGTTTGTCTCAGGAGATGCTTCACATTTACTGTTTTGTTCTTCATTTACAATCATCATAATCTTAAAGGAAGAATCATAACTGTGGTGCCTGATACTTTTTGACACATTATTAGTTTCCACACTATTACAGCACTTATCTTCTTGACAGAATCTGTCATTCTTTTTGAGTGATTTAGCACAGAATCTTGTGTAATCATTACCACCTTTGTCTTATAACTCTAATGGTACCTCAGGCAACCTCATGGCAGCTCATGGCTTCTGGCTGAAACATATTTCTGTCCCTGTGACCTTCTCACTTGCTAATCTCATAGCACGATAGTATGAATTATGTAGTTTTTCCTTCCTTGAAAGGAGGGGAAAAAAAAAGACATCTTCCATTTGGGTAGCAATTATGATACTGATCAATGCTGACATGACTCTGATATGCACGCAGAAATAGTTATCAGAAAATTCTCTAAATTGGGGAATGAAAGATTAAAATTTGAATGGTGATTTTTTGGGGAATGAAAGATTAAACTTTGAATGGTGATTTTTCGTTAATTGAGTTCTGAAGATTCAAAACTTGCACATACCTAATGCACAGTATATGATATCTCATTCATAACAGACTGGATTTCCAGCAGAATCATATACCAAATTCCTCATCTATTGGTTAAACATTTCTGCTGGTGGTAACACTGGATTCAGACATTGAAATAGAAATGAAGTAAACCTGAATGATTAACGAAAAAAAAAAATATATATATATATGGTATACATATGGAACCCAGAAATTAAATTGTAACAAGCTTAATTGTATGGACAGTTCCTTGAGACACTCACCTCCACCAATCCATGTTTGACTTGGGCTGAGGAATTCTCACATGAATGAAGTTTTGATGAGGCGGAAGATCGATTTTAATATCTCGTGGACACTGGATGAATGGTTGTGGGGCATCTGAAGCTGATACATGAAATAACATACAGTAACTTGTTTTAGACATAGTTTAGTTAATATCAATAAAACATATGGCTATAGGGGGATTGTTAATTATTCCTTACTCAACATTTTGCACTTTATTTTGAATTTCTTATTTGTATTTGTACATTCCCTTTATCCAAGAGAAGATTGTGGTGATTAATTTGTATTCTGAAGATGTCAATGGTATGCATTAGGAATTAAATATTTAAAATGCCTCAAATAAATTATTAATTTAATGGAAAAATAAATTTAAAGCAAACTATGAATATACTAAAAGAAGACCTAAGTGGATCATTTACCAGAAAACTGCATGGAATTGATATGTGACAGGTAATTTTAAAAGCACCTGGAATGGTACATGTGTAAAAAGAGAGAGATAAATGTCACTACTTCTTGATTTCAGTAAATCTCACTAACATGTGAGGGTGTGTTATATTGATTATGAAGTATATATCAGGAATGTTAAGGAATCTGTAATTTCTGATGGTATTGAGTTTAGTCTGATTTCAGCAGTGCCATAGCTTTTAAGGCCTATAAAATGCTAGGATTGTGGGAAATCCTGGCCAGGGCATGTATGCAGGAGCAAATAGCTGCAGTACTCACGAACACACACGGAGATGTCACCTGACCATCTTCCATCCTTCCCACAGCGACGTGCATGAGGACCATTCAGCTTGTGGTTTTTTGAACAGCGTATATGACATTCCGCACCTGGTGGATACTTGGTTTCAGGTGGGTGACCTGGACAACGTACTTCTCCATGTTCAGGCACAGCCAAACTAATGCAACCAGCTTCTCTCTCTGAAGAGTGTGAAAAGCCATTCCAGAATATTCATTTAATTTTGCAAAGAATATTTATCAAGTAAAAATCCAATAAGGTAAGAGTTTTAGTGATTAGTAATATAACATAATATTTCAGGATGATAACATGGATGACTATGATGAAGCATAATTTGGTTCCAGTGAAGAATGGAACACACAGATTCTGTTCATTCATATATAAGTTCAGAATGTTTCTCATCAATTCTGATCCCATGAAACCCACTGTGCTTATCAGGGGAAGGCAGAGCAAGTTACCTATGCAGGTACGCTCATCTGTGTCCAGTATGTAGCTGTCACTGCAGGCACAAAAGAAGCTTCCCTGGGTATTGATGCAGTCCATGTTGCACCCACCATTTCGTGTCTCCATGCATTCATTGATGTCCACACATTTTGTCCTGTCCCTGTACATCAACCACAAAAGTCATTTGGCAGTTGAATGGAGGACATTCCATCATGTACATAGCATGGAAATTCAGAATTTGTAGAAGCCACATAGTACTGTAACAATAGTCAGATCCAGGGTATGGTGGGCTGCAAGTCTTTTGCAGGGGACAAAAATGCATACAAAATTTTGGTGGCATGAAGATGAAAAAGGAGGTGTGAATGTAATACTAAAATGAATCTCAGGTAAACAGGTTATGACAATATAACTAGGTGACTCAGATACAATTAGTCACCAAAATTGACATCTTAGTGCATGTAGGAGATGAGGCTGTAATTGGTATCCTGCATCTATAGAGATGAAGAGAGAGAGAGCATGAGAAAAGGGACATGCAACTGACAGATTCCAGGTAACAATACCTTTCTGTCCTACTTAAAATCAAGGAAAATAAGGTGGTCTTAACTGGTACAATGCTTGGAGGAGAAAGGAAATGCATGTAGAATTTCGGTAGACAGCAGAAATAAAAAATATACCTTAAAAGAGTAGTGCAAGAGAGCATGACATTAATACGTTAAAACTGGCTGGGGATAAGGTATTAAGTATGAAATTAAAATTAGTGGTCCAATATTTTGAAGTATTGTTATTAATAATTTAGATTAATCATGTGTAAGTGTTAACATGTAGTAGGTACACCCAACAGATACGATCATCATACCTGGTGTGCAGTTTGTAGCCCACATGACAACTGCAGTGGTAGGATCCAGCTGTGTTGACACATTCCTGGCTACAGCCACCATTGTGCCTTTCGCACTCGTCGATATCTGCAGAGACAAAATTGACTGAGCAGTTGTTTATTGCTCAGAGTTAAAAGATATATGTAATGTCACACCTTTTCATTTTAGAACAGAACTTAATGATAGGTAGAGTAATTAAGCTACGTTTGTGCAATGTACTAACTTTTCTGTGTCAGAGCTTATAATATAAACATATGTTACATAGGACTGCAAAAATTTAAGTACAGTTTATTTTAAGAAAATAATAGCCATTATTCTTAGTCACTGATAAAATGGTTGCGTTGAAGTCAAATTTTTCTGTTGTTAATCTAATGATTTATTTTCTTGAATAATCCAAGCATAATTACAAATTACAAGGAACCAAAGTGTCTGAGTAACCCAGATCGCTCATATCATATTTTCCATTAAATCATCTCTGCTTGTAAGTAATATTTACCGATACACTGGCCTTCATGCTGATGATATCCTGGATCACAAAGACAGCGGTAGGATCCCATGGTGTTAAGACATTTACCATTGCAGAACACATTCTCTGAACATTCATCTATATCTGAATCAAATATATAAAGTAACATTATTTATCACCAATTTTGAGAAAATCAAACAGAGGTGCAGCATATGAACTAAAAAGATTGCAAGGCTCTGGAACCACAAAATATTTCACTGTGTGCCATAATGAATTAATTTGTATATAATGATTAAAATGCAGAAAAATTATTCTTTCTTGAATTTGAGATAAAATAGACTGTAACAGCAAGAACATTACAGAGCTGTATGAAAACAAATGTGAATTTAAGAAGGGTCACCAACCTAGAGCGAAGTAAATTATTCTCAATGAATGCAATATACCCATGGAAGTAGTTAAGCTAATTAAAATATGCTTACACTATACAAATGGTAAAGTCTGTGTTGGTATAAATTTGTCTCCATTTCCTGTTCAGGAGATCTGAAACAAGGAGATGTTTCATCATCACTGGTCCTTAAGCCTGGTTTAAAATATTCCATTAGCAAGGTCCAAGAAAATTGAGTTGTGATGACATGTTCTTTGATAGGCAGGTTCCTCAAAAACACTGGCACCCCTCTACCTAACTATACAGCTTCATTGCAAACTTCTCCTCTTGTTCAACCTTGTTCTTTTCTCCACACAATATTTGTCTTTATTAAGATTTCTTTGCATTTAGACTAACTGCATTTCATTATACTCATTAACAAGCCAGGTTTGATAAATGTGTCTTACCCACACAGACACCACCCTGCAGATGATATCCTTTCTCACATTGGCAATAGAAAGACCCCACAGTGTTCACACATTTTCCCTCGCATACTCCTGTTCTGCATTCGTCAATATCTATCAAACAAGAGAGAGAAAATCACAAACTGCTTGTTTCAACTGGACCAGTATTACACTCTGAAATATTAGGTTCAGGAAAGAACATAGAATGTTTTTGATCAGACATTGATGAGGATATTTGAATCTAAGAGAAAGAAAGTAATAGGATATTAGAGAAATTTGCATAATGAAGAGATTTATACGTTTCAGGTTGTAACAAGTATGGGATAGATGAGAAATTCATACACAGCTTTAGTAAAATAATGAAAATGGAAGAAATTCTTGTGCAAAAATGGGTGTAAAAGAATAATTTCAGAATGAAAATTAAATAATGAAGGCATAAGAGCATGGACTGGATTGAGCTGGTTCAGAATAGTGTCCAGTGGCAGGCTCTGGTGTAAATCATAGTTTCCATAAAAGGCCTCCAGATATGGATTCTTTGAATAAATGACCTAAATGAAAGAAAATGGACATGTCACTTGGTACATGGAATGTATAGGGCAGGTTCGCTTATGGTAGTTGTGAAGGAAATATGAAAATATAAATTAGATTTAGAGGGAGTACAGGAGGTGATGTGGAAAAGAGGTGGCACCAAAACCAGCAGGCGAATATATATCTATGAAAAGAGGAATAAGGATCATGAATTAGGTGCATGTTTGTTCATACAGAATTGGAGGTGACATGCTTTTACGGACATTCATAATTATAACACACAAAGAAAATTAAATTTTCATGTACAGCACTGTAATACAGCTCTTTTTAAGAGGAGTGTGATAAATATGGGAATTAGTTTGTATAATAAGGTCCCCGATCAAATAAAACAAAGGGAAAATTTTAACTCATTTAAAAAGGAATTAAAATCTTTTTTGCTGAAACATTCCTTTTATTCTGTAGATGAATTTTCTTTTGATTTTTCAAGTGTGTAAATGTAATATATAGCTGATTAATTTGTTGTATTTGTGTAAAGACAATGAAATTAATGATAACTATATCTAGATAATATCATTCAGATGACAAACCCACTATATAAGGGTGGTACAGTGTATACTGTAAAAATATGCACAAGAATTAGATGTAAAACTGACAATTTCCTTATCCAAATAGTTGCAATACCTGTATGTATGGATTGTTGAATGATAATAAATGATAATGACAATGATAATGATAATTATATCAGCAGTTAAGCGGGTAGAGTTTGTTAGTGGTAGGATGTCATACATAATACTAAGAGGTCACTGGTGTTATGTCATTTTTCTGAATATTCATGCCCAAACAGAGGGTAAAATTGGTGATGTGAAGGACATGTTATATGAAGAACTGTAATGTGTATTCGATAGATTCTTTAAATGCCATACGATTTTTTTAGGAGATTCCATTGCCAAAGTAGGTATGGAAGACCTTCTCAAGCCAACAATTTGGAATGAGAGTTTACACGAAATTAATAATTATAATGGACTTGTGGTAGTAAATTTCGCCACATCCAAAAATCTGACTGTCAAAAGTATGATGTTCCACACTGTAACATTCATAAATTTACTTGGACATCTGATGGAAAGACTCGCAATCAAGTTGACGGTTGTTTGATAGACAGAAGACAGCATTCAAGTATACACGATGTCCGGTTGTTTAGGGCAGCAGATAGTGATACTGACCACTAGATGGTGGTGGTAAAATGTAGGGAAAGACTGGCAGTGAGTGACAAACAATGCACAGAGCTCATATGGAGAGGTTCAATCTCAAGAAACTGAACGATGTACAGGGTAAAGAGCAGTATTGTGTTGAAATCTCAAATAGGTTCATGGCTTTGGAGAACTTGAAACTGAGCTGGATATTAATAAAGCTTGGGAAACTATTAAAGAGAATATAAAAATGTCTGCCAAAGAGAGTCTAGGTTATTATGAATTGAAAAAGCATAAGCCATGGTTCGATGAAGGATGATCAGAATTATTAGGTCAAAGGAAACAAGCCAAACTACAGTGATTACAGGATACAAGTGAAATAAGAGGGGATAATGTGAACAGTTTAAGACATGAAGCCAGCAGGTATTTCAGGAATACAAAAGAGTGAATATCTGATTGACAAAAATTGATGAGCTTGCAGCAAACAGTAAGAACAAGAAAATTACAGATCTGTATAGGGGAATAGATAAACTTAAGATCGGTTACCAACCTAAAAGTAACTTAGTGAAGGATGAGAATGGAATTTACTTACAGATTCCCACAATATTTTAACAGGTGGAAGCACTACTTCTTTCGGTTATTGAATGTACATAGGGTCATTGATGTTAGGCAGATAGAAATACATACAGCTGAGCTGTTAGTACATCATCCTAGTCATTTTTAGTTTGATATTGCTATCGAAAAGTTGAAAAGGTATAAATCGCCAGGCAGTGTTCAAATTCCAGCAGAACTGATTCAAGCAGGAGGTGAAACATTATGCTCTGAGATCTATATGCTCATTAATTCTGTTTGTAATAAGGAAGAATTGACTGATCAGTGGAAAGTCTCTCTTATTTTCCCAATACACAAGAAGGGCAATAAACTGACCCGTAGTAATTATCGTGGGATATCACTGTTATCAACTTAATACAAAATTTTATCCAATATCCTTTGCTCAAGGTTAAGTCCATATATACTGTAGATGAAATTATTAGGGTTCATCAGTGTGGGTTTCGACATCACAGATCAACTACTAATCAGACCTGTTGCATTCATCAGATACTGGAGAAAAAATGAGAGTACTTAAAAAAAACCTATGATTCAGTTAGGAGGGAAATTTTGTACAATGTTCTCATAGAGTTTAGGGTACCCATGAAACTAGTTAAACTGATTAAAATGTGTTTAAACAGAACGTATAGTAAAGTCCATATAGGTAAACATTTGTCTGATAATTTTCCTATCCAAAATTGTCTAAAAGAAGGAGATACTTTATCGCCAATCCTTTTCAACTTTGCTTTAGAATATGCCATTAAGAGGGTCCAGGAAAACAAGGAGGGACACATCAGCTGCCGGTCTATGCTGATGATGTGAATCTACTGGGTGATAATATAGATACCATAAATTAAAACACACAAACTTTAATTGTTGCAAGTAAGGAGGTTGGTCTGGAAGTAAACACAAAGAGAATTAAGTATATGTTGCTGTCTCATCACCAAAATCCACGGCAAAATCATGACATAAAGGCAGGAAACAGATGTTTTGAAAATGTGGCACAGTTCCGTTCAAAACCTGATTCAGGAGGAAATTAAGAGGAAATTGAACTCACTTAATGCTTACTACCATTCAGTCCAGAATATTCTATCTACTCATCTATTGTCTAAAAACAAAAATTGGAATATGAAGAACTATAATTTTGCCTGTGGTTCTGTATAGGTGTGACTCTTGGTCTCTGACAGTAAGGGAGTAACATAGACAGAGAGTGTGTGAGAATGGGGTGCTGAGGAGAATACTTAAAGTAAAAAAGTAAAGCTATCCCTGTACCAGGCCATGAAGGCCCATAGAGTTGTGAGATGTTGAGGATCCCATATTAACTAGACAATCAGCTCAAAGATGGCGGGAAGGTTGTCAGCTTTACGCACCAGCCGCACTTTACTCCGCAGGAAAATTATTTAATTAATTCCTGGTACTCATTTCTGTTAGAGGCTGAGTGAACCCCAGGACCATAGTGCAGCTGGAAGGGTTAGGTCAATTGAAAAAAAAATCCAATAACCTCATCGGGACTTGATCCCGCAACCAAAAGATGAAGTGATAGAAGGTTGAAGAAAACTACATAATGAAGAGCTTCATAACTTGTACTCTTCATCAAGTATAATTAGAATGTTCATGTAACGGAAGATAAGATGGGAATGTAGCATGAATGGGAGGAAGAGGAATACATGTAAGATATTGATGGGAAAGCCAGAAGAAAAGAGACCACTAGGAAGACCAAAGATGTAGGTGGGTGAACAATATTAAACTGGATCTTAGAGCGATAAGATGGGATGGTATGGATTAGATTGATCTGGCTCAGGATATGGACCAGTGGAGGGCAGCACGATAAGGAACCTTCGGATTCCATTAAATGTTGGGAAATCCTTGAGTAGCTGCACAACTGGCAGCTTCTCAAGAAGGGCTCACCTCCATGAAGTTACTTTAGTTTATTTTGTCCCCTAGCAACATAATTTAATACTGGCATAAAGCAGAATATTTACACTACCAGAGTTTAATATATGTAATATTAGGATAATTTTCAGTGTAAATAAAATTAAATTCAGGTTTACGCCTGAACTGGCATAATAATATAGCGCGAACTGAAGAATTTAAGGCAGCAGTATCCAGAAATGAAAAAACTACACTAATATTTATAAAAAATATTATTTTTTTTTATAAAACCTTATACATATTTAAAGCAATGCTACTAGTTATTAACTCATTTCTGTTACATACCTGTGCATTTGTTGCCCATCTTGTGAAAACCATCTTTACACCCACACTCATAGGAACCTGGAAAATTTACACAGAAATGTTGGCAACCATGTTGCTCGTCTTCTTCACACTCATCAACATCCTTGCACGTCAAACCATCGGCCATGAGGTGGTATCCAGGGAGGCAGGAACACATGACATGACCAGATACACTTTTGCACAGCTGGGAGCAACCACCATTGTCAACATGACATGACATATCCTTCCTGCACTGCTTCCCACCCTCCAGCAGGCGATATCCATGGGGGCACTCACACCTGTAGCTTCCTGCGGTGTTGATACACTCATGAGAACATTCCCCGTTCCTCATAGAACATTCATTTAGGTCTGTGCATTTCCTGTGGTCTTCTGGCGCTGTTCTGAAGCCTACTGCACAGCTGCAGTGGAAGCTTCCTGGAGTGTTAGTACAGGTGTGAGAACAGCCGCCATTTCGCACTCGACATTCGTCAACATCTACACAAATCCTTCCAGATTCATCATCAATGAAATAACCAATTGGACATCCACACCTGTAACTCCCAACAGTGTTTATACAATAATATGAACATCTTCCATTCTCTGTCAAACATTCATCTACGTCCTGACAAGTCCTACTATCTTCCCCAAGAATATATCCAATTGGACAAGCACATATGTAACTGCCAATTGTGTTCAGGCATTCATGTGAACACTCACTGTAGGTGCCATCCAAGCATTCATCAGTATCAACACATGTCCTGCCATCACTACTATCTATGATGTAACCAGAAGGACATGTACACTTTCCATTTACACATGTGTGAGAACACCGGGCACACTTATTACTTGTGATGCATGTAGTGTTTGTAACACCATCAAGCTGGTGTCCATCAGGACATTCACACTTTAAACCCCCAAGTAAGTTGACACATTTGTGGGAACATCCCCCATTGTCATGGAGGCAATCACCTATGTCCAAACAATTTTTAAAATCTTCATCTAGGTGGTAACCTTCTGGACATTTGCAGTGGAAACTGCCTGCAGTATTCAAACAGACATGGGAACAGCCGCCTATGTCCTCAAGACACTCATCCACATCTGTACAGGTCTTGCCATCTCTCGCTAAACCATATCCTTGGGGACACAGACATACAAAGCTACCAGCAGTGTTTTTACAATCATCAGAGCATCCACCTTCTTGATAGCTAAGGAAACATTCATCAATATCTGCACATGTCTGATTTCCAGCAAGAACATAACCTTGAGGGCAGTCACAGTCAAAGCTTCCATGAGTGTTATGACAAATATGGGAACAACCCCCAAGGTCATCTGTCAGGCATTCATTCACATCTTCACATGTTGTGTTATCATCTTTCATTTTGAATCCTACAGGACAAGCACAGTAGAAGCTACCTTGACTGTTAATGCATTCATGAGAACAAGGACCAATGGTTGCACTACATTCATCTATGTCTTCACATTTTGTCAGATCATCATGCTGCACTTGAAAGCCTATTTCACATGTACAGTTTCTTGACCCTTCAATGTTAATACAGCGGTGTGAACACCCTCCATTATGTACTGCACATTCATTTACATCCTCACATGACTTTGAATCATTCATCTCAAGACGGTAGCCCTGTGGACACGTACAGAAATAACTCCCCTCAGTGTTGACACATTCATGTGAACAGTCAGAACCATCTAGCTGACACTCATCTACATCATGACATGTCTTGTGGTCAATCTCTGATAACTTGTATCCATTTGGACAGCTACACTGGACTGCTTCGTTATCACCAGTACAGAAATGTGAGCAACCACCATTGTCAACGACACAGCCATCCACCTGGACACACGTCTTACCATCATCTGCAAGCAGACGATGTCCCTCTGGGCAAGCACACTCCAAGCCACCATCAGTATTTGCACACAGATGTGAACAACCTCCATTATTGACCATGCATTCATTGATGTCTTCACAGAGACGTCCATTTGCTGCGAGCTGATACCCAGAGTCACATGTGCAGTGAAAACTGCCCTGCTCATTAACACAACCCTGTGAACATGCTTCAATTTCGTTTCCATCAACACATTCATTGACATCTTCACATGTGCGCCTATCACCACTTAGCACATATCCATGTGGACACTCACATCTAAAACTACCTGGCTCATTGTTACACCAGTGGGAACATGGCTCTTCAGCACACTCATCGATGTCTTTACAAGTCCTCATATCTTCACCTAGATTATAGCCCTTTGGACATTTACAGTAGAAAGTACCACGCTTGTTTACACATGTATGAGAACATGCAGATGAATTATTTGTGCACTCATCAATGTCCTCACAAGTACTGTCATCATCTCCAAGAGCATATCCTTCAGGACACACACATTTAAAACTTCCAGGTAGGTTAACACACTTATGTGAACAACGGTCACCTGTGTCATTTTCCCCATTACTACCGAGACACTCATCTACATCCTTACAAGTCCTCCGATCTGTACTAAGTAGAAATCCCTGAGGACATTTACAATGGAAACTCCCAGGTTCATTAATACATTCATGAGAACATCTCTCACCTGTTTCGTTTTCAAGATCAATACACTCATCAATATCTCTGCAAGTCCTCAAGTCATCACTGAGAATATAACCTGCAGGACACTTACACCTGAAGCTTCCAGGCTCATTGACACAATGATGAGAACACAGCATGCCTGTTTCATCATCATCTACAATCATATGACACTCATTCACATCTTCACATGTCTGGGAATCATCCTTCAAGAAGAAACCACTAGGACAAGAACAATTAAAACTGCCAGGAACGTTAATACAGATATGGGAACAAGGCTTATTTGTTTTGCATTCATCTATATCCCTGCATGACCTGAGATTGTCTTCTAAAACAAATCCCCTGGGACAGATACACTTGAAAACTCCGTGCTCATTAATGCAGTCATGTGAACACTCTGCCTGCTGTACCTCATTACACACACTGACTTCCTCACAAGTCCTTCTGTCAGCTCCCAAATGGAAACCAGCAGGACACTCACAATGGAAGCTGCCAATTTCGTTTACACACTCATGAGAACAGATGAAAGTATCTTCCTCTTCCTCTTCACACTCATTCAGATCTTCACAGGTTTTGTCGTCATCGCCAATGTCATAGCCTTCAGGACATGTGCACTGGAATCCGCCAGACTCATTTTCACAGTCATGTGAGCAGCCTGGGTCTTCCTCCAGACATTCATCTATATCTGTATGAAGAAATGAAGAGCTTCATGCAACAGCACACTAACAATAACACAAATTTTACTTCTCATTTCTGTATGAATATGTAAATAATAAAGTATTGAACAGTGAAAGTACATTTATAGGATTGCCATACCAAATAAGCAGTTTCATTATTACAGTACAATTTATTTTTAAAAAATGGATGATTAATAGATATTTTCACTGGTTACTGATATGATCTTGAAATTTTTTCCTCTGAAAATATTTGATGAATACTAAAATTTTCATGCCTATACACTGTGAGGCATGAATCCAAATCCCACACAAGATGATATATTTTCCTGGGTTGTGTTGTGTTGTGTCATGTCATGTCATGTCATGTCATGTTGTGTCATCGTGTCGTGTTATGGTATGTCATTCTGAGTAGATACAGGTTTCACTATGTATGAGTATAAGTTCAGAATTAATTCTGAATCTGAACTAGTGAAATGAATATTACTGAATAATGGAGCATGGGAATGTGAGCATACTAACCAACACAGTAGCCATCTTTGTTAGGTTTATAACCCATACTGCACTTTCCAGGGTCATCTTCAGGGCCATTCAACAGGGTGATCTTCTCGGCACAGGTATAAGACCCGATGGTATTCACACATCCCAGAGGGCATTTGATGTCTTCCATGTCACACTCATCAATGTCTGGTAATGAAATGCCATCTCTTAGAGATAGTCATATAATGTGGGATATTACATGGAAACTTTCACTGTGAGATGTAAATATTACTGAATTCACTGTTTTTGGATTGTATATTGCCAATTTAACACGTAACTGTACAACTTCCAAACATTCAAACAGCAGAAAATAACTCACACTATTGAAAAAGTTTGAATTTGTGTCTGTGAAAATCATAACCATAAGATTAGTTAGTAGTAGCCGAGTTTAAATTCAATGTAATATCTGAGAGATACTTCAGTCATTGGTGTGACATGAGATGAGAAATAAGTATGTTTTGAGAAGCAAGCTTGAATCTATAACACCATTTGGGATACCTAGCTATCGATGGGGAGATAATATAACAAGAATTTCTGGGAAGAACTGCCTACATGCCTCTGATACAACATGGACTTCATAGAAAACAAAAAAATTAGAGGGATACATGGACATGTAGAGAGCAAGGTGATCTCATAGGCTTCCTTGATTGTATATGGACTACACAGAAAACGAAAAAATCGAAGAGGATCACACAGACAACAAAGTGAGTTCATGAGCCTCCTTTCATTTTTACATAATGAAGAAAATAGGCTAAAAATGTCTCTTGAGTTTGGATATTTGGTGTGGACTGGAATGAAATCGCTCAGAATGGGAACTAATGACAGGATCTTGCGAATATGATAATGAATCTTCAGATTCCACCAAATGCATGAAATCTCTTGAATAGAGGAGTGACTATCAGCTTCCCAAGAAAAAATTCTGCACCATGGACTTATTTAATATAAACATAAATTGATACTTCACATAATGTTGTATTTTAGCGTCCTGTTGCACTGTATACATATCATGGATGACACTTCATGTATTCTCTTCATACCATTATGAGACTAATACCCACATAAACAATGAATAGAAAGTTGTGGCAGACAATTATCCAGGAATGTCCAGCAAAGTTACAGATTATTTTCTCAATTTTTTTAAGAATTAAAATATTCAATATAAAAATTTCTCAGCTGCTTTTGTCCTGGACGTCCAAAGGGTCAGAGTTCTGTACGGTTGTGAAATGTCATGTTCACAACAGCCTCTCAGTAGTGAATCCTGATTGAAATTCAACTGCATGAACTGTCGGTATTAAGACTGTATTCCTGTCCCTTTCTCAGAGTGATGTGTGTAAAAGCATAGTTACAAGATGAATTTACCTATTTCCCTGGTTTGGCATATATGAATCTAAGAAATTCTGTGGAGTGTAAGTTATCAAATGCACTGAGCTGGTTCCAAACAAGTTATTATTGAATGAAGAAAAACAAGTCCCATTTATATTCCTTCAATGTTAGTGATCTGGCAGCGCATTACGAGCCAGACTGGTACATTTGTCATTGGAACTCATCAGTGGACCCAACCCTGAGAAAGCTAGGGCCATGCTCTCACAGTCTATGTATTTAAAAACCATTTTAACATTATCCCTTGATCTATGCCAAGGTGTCTTATCTGGTCTCTTCCCTTCAGGTATTGGCATTAATATTTCCCACTTTGCATTCTACGTGTCTCCCCTTTCTAAATCTGTGTTCTTCTCTGATGGTGAAATATGGAGAGTCAGACTCAAATGAAACAAAATATAAACATTTTTTATGTTACTGTCATTCTGATCCATTTGTATAGTGTTACCTTGGCAGGTCTTGTAATCATCACCAAGCATGAGACCATGTGGGCAGAGGCAGAAGAAGCTACTGAGAGTGTTGAGACAGGAGTGGGAGCAACCTCCATTTTCCTGGGCACACTCATCCACATCCTCACAAGTGTGGTTGTCTGCTGCCAGGTGGGTGCCAGGGATACCATCACAGCTGCACTCGTATCTTCCTGGCAGATTGTGGCACAAGTCCTGGCAGGGACCATGTCCATTCCTCAGCAAGCACTCATTCACATCTGCAATCAGAATGAATCATCCTGTCTTCTACTTATCAGACTACAGTGTGGGGAGGACACCATGCAATGGGCAGTTCTGCTGCCCATGATAAGATGGTAGTGAAGATGAAGATGGTTGACACTGGTAGCCTGCAGCTTAACATGGGATCCAGGCCATTGTGTAAGGTCTGGTGCTCCTCATATACACAAAATCTTGATCTGGTCAGAAGCGAATGAAGGAAAATATCTTGCACAGGTTCCAGTTGATCTTGAACCTAAAACCTACCCTACCAATGGGCCATCAGCTCTCCACCCCTCTGAGAGAAAAATTTATAAATTACTGATCATATTAATAATTCTTAGCATATGGGATTCCATAGATTGCTAGTGACATAATACATTTTCAGTTAAATTGGACATACATGTACATAAGCACCCAGCAGGAAAGGAGATACAGGAAGACGATAAGGAATATGATAAAACCTCTTTAACTTCTGAAACCTGGAACGAAGTTCAAAGTACTGAATCCTTGTGGAGGAAGAAAAGGAATTAAATTCCATATTTATAATAATTTTTCTGTTTTAGGGAATCCAGTAACTAGGAAAGTTACCAGAAATAAATGATTGGCACTGGAGCCATATTTCTAATTTTCACCAAAAAAGAAGTTTCATAATTTCAGTAATGGTAACAATGTGTCATCGTAGCAAATTTAATCTGCCTGTCTCCATTTGTTCATCTCATAAAAATTAAAGTAAATTGCTAAATGACAATAATTGATGTATCAGTGATGAGCAATCTATGTTTACCAATTCAGTTCTTGGCAATAATTCATAAACAATCACTAAGCGACATGGTGGCGATAAATAATAGACAATTTTTAATTAAGAATACATATATTCACAAGACTGTCATAATAAATAAGTAATCTCATTGTTACAGTACAATACATTTTAAGAAAAATCTGGACAAAGAAACTTCACTTTCTGTAAATTGTATGAAATAAAATATTGGGATGCATTACATTCTGAATGACTCCATATAAAATCAAATTGTATAACGTTTCTGGAAAGCTAAGTAACTGGGATGCCTACCAAGACAGGACCTCCCATTGGCTGCCAGGCGGAATCCTTGTTGACAGGCACAGCTGAAGGAGCCAGGGATATTGAGACACAGAGACTGGCACATGCCATTCTCTACAGCACATTCATCAATATCTGTAACACACATTATTGGCTATTGTATGCCATGTTCTGTCATCCATTTATCTTAGAAGGATTTTAAAACCCTAGCTAATTTTGATCTACAAAGTGCAATTTTAATCCACTTCAGATTGTTTGAATCAATAATTTATATGAGGCCCCCATGCCTGGACTTTGAAGCCTCACATCAACCCCTTCTACTGACAGCTTAGTTCATGATGTTGTCATTTTCATCCCACATTATTGTCTGACACATTGGAGAGACAAGGAATTCACACAAAATTTGATCATAAAATCTGAAGGAAGAAGACCACTCAGAAATTCAGTTTAGATGGAAGGATAAGATTATAATGGATCTCACATAAATAGGCAGTCATTTGGCTCAAGATATTCCTTATTGTGTACTTTTTTAACTACCATAACTAAATACCATAATTAAATTTCAGTTTTCATAAAAAAACTGGAATTCTTGTCCAGTACTAAGCTTATTTGGTCTGAAAATGTACGAAGTGATTGTGCCTTACTTTATGCATTAAACAGTTTTTTGTATGAGCTGCATTCCTTGAATTTGATGAATGAGTCCTTCATTTTCAAACCACATACACCAGACATGAGAAAGCCAGAGCGAAGCTGCCTTTGCCACGCTTGCTCTAGTGTTAGAGTGTATTTTACTGACCCACACACGAGCTGATTCCATGCAGTTTGAAGCCCTGATAGCATGAGCACTTGGGCTTGCCAGCCACTTCCTCACATATGTGGTCACAGCCCCCTCTGTTCTCTGAACACCAGCCCACTGACACATCTGAAACAACAAAACTGAAAACAGGACAGGAAATCTATATGTAAAGAACATGCAAGATCTGTCATGCTGAGTACAGGTGTTACTGGGTCATTTCATGTCCAATCAACATAGTTTAAGGGGAAAAAATTCTTGTCCATTTCTGATTCTAATAGCATTTTGCAAACTTGCTGGGTCTCTTTAGGAAGCGGCATGTATGACATTTTACCTTCTTGGGTCCATTAATTGCAGAGATTCAGCATATAAAATTTCAAATTTTCCTTAAATTTTTCCTCATTCTGATTCATCTAATATCCTTAGGTATCTCTTGTCCTAATGAAGACTGAGTGCTTGTTCTTGTACTAATTGAAAGTTGTTAACTGATTCTTTCACTTGGCGTGCACACACAGTATTTTAAGATAAGAACATTTTTACCTTAGTTTATGATAAAATGTGCAGCTAGATTTGTGCACGTTCTTCTCGCATCATTTTGTAACCACTTCAATGTTCCTTTTGAAAGTATCATATTAGCCAACGAAAATGATGAGGAAATATAATTTCCCACCTGTTAGGGGATCTGATTAGGCATGATGAGTCGTCTTGTGACCCGTACAGACATACTGCAGGGCATCATAACTCATCCAGCCTTTCAGTTCATACCTAATGCCAATAGAATCAAGTAGTATTTACTTGTTTTGCAAATTCTATAGGGGTTTGGTTAAGTGCAAATTTAATTTTTGCTTTTGCCAAATTCGAAATATATACAAATGCTACACGTGTCAGAGAACCTCATGTTTTAAACCTGTGTTGTAATCCATTGACTATCGGTCATGGTACAATTTCCAAGAAGAACCCGAGACTTGTGTTGAAGTGGATGACGTAAAGGTTCCTACTATTCAGAAAGGACAAAGAATCTGGCATATATATGTGTGGAAACTATTGCAAATGTGCCTGAAACTGTTGGAAATTAAGCAGATATCTCTTGAAGCTCAATTCATGACAGAAACGAAAAGGAAGACTTGAACAGTGTTAAAATTGAGCAGACCCACATTGTTTGTCCTTGAACAAGATTCTGGAACCACTTGGAAAGTCACCACTTTCCACTGAAAAGATGTCACAAGTGATATATCCACACAAAGAAGTATCAAAATCAATGGAGCCATGAAAACAAACATATTTAATTCATGAAACTCCAGTGGTAGTGACAGTTCAGGTAAAAGCGAAATGATAGCATAGTTGAAGGAAGAATTTCGCATAATATAAAAAAGAGTGAAAGGCTCAAATTCTAATAATTCTGTCATGTGTATTGGTGTGTGTGTGACTATAGACAGGGTTTGGATTGGCGAATGGATTTATTGACCACTTATACACATGACTTGGAACTACAAACATTTACAATGCTATCGTTGGTTTACACACTTTACAAATCACTAGAGCATAAACCAAGTCTTCTCAGTCTGCTTTTACTAGTCGTTTCTTGGTAACAGATCTTAACAATAGACATTCTTCAGCTTCTTCGTTGCCTGCTGGCTAGTATGCCACAACTGAACTATGAACTTAATTATAGCTCCATATCTTCTCAGCCTTCCTTGCAGAACTCAACTGAACTCATTCAATGTCGAAGTCAAGATTATGTTATGACCGACGGCCCCCGTCTCTCTTGATTTAAAGCACGATCTTTGGCCCAACACAAGATTTCTATTAATGTCAAACAGTTACGGAGTTGTTGATGTGGGGCCCTCTCTAACGAGAGGACGGGTCTGTCATTTACAATTCCTGTTCGCCCTTACCAGCCCAATCTCGGGTCCGAGCTCCGTGGGACTTGTGACCATATTTTACTGTCTCAGAATTGAGACTTCCCCAACCTGGAGGGTCAGGTCCCCGTATAATATACGTATCTCCATGTATTCTTAAACTTGGCATTAAATGGGTAATGAATGATAGGCTTTACGCCCGAAACGTTACATCGCGCAAGGAAAAGGCCATCAGCATGTACTGAATAGAGAGCTAGGTGATCCTGCGAGCCAGTCTGGATACGGTGACGAAGTCAGCCCCCTAGAAAGTAGAGCTGCATTATTTTAAATACACTTTACTCGCGTAATAATTATGTGGGAGCTCAAGTCTGGGGCGTACATACTAGTGTGTGTGCAAATACTGCATGCATGTTGCTAAATGTATGATATTACTGTATATAAATAGTAGATGCCGTCGTTCTCTTCCTTGCAGCTGCTTGCTTCGTTATAATATCCATGGATTATGAACCATGTCTTTGATCAGAATGGCATTACGCAGTCTTGAACCGAATCCCTCGGATTGAAACGTAACATTTGTAGCGCGTAATCAACACCTACTACCTCGCAAGTTCGCCCTGAATGCTACATTTTGGAATGCGGGACCGATTGGCTGAAGCAGCTTGGAAAGTACATTGCTTTGTAGCGACAGAAAGCACGGCAACTGCTGTAGTCGATGATTCATCCCACAGACAGTGTGTCCGCATGTTTCAATTATGGATCCGTCTCTGCGGGGATCAGGAATTAATCGACGTCCACTCCGTGGTATTAGTATAACCCACTGCCGGCAGACACGTTTCTTCCTTATTAAGAAGTTGCTCATTCTTCCTTCACCTCAAGCAGCTGGCGCCTTACCTCTGTATCCTCGCATACACTACAGCGCCCGCAAGAACTCAGAGAGACATAGAGTACTCTTGTGCTGATTTGCAGAACATAGTTTGCCCCCGTATTCACCCGGAAAGTGAGTCGCTCAGGAGGAAAGGCTGATGTCAGCCGACATAAAATCTGCCCTCTAAGAATGCTGAGCTCCCTCTCATGGCTGCAAGGCCATTACAGTGTTCGGCTGCTTTAAAAATAACAGAAGAAAGGATACGGTTACATAATGCGGAGCTTCGTAATTTGCACTGTGTGAAATATTATCAGTGCAGTGAAATAAAAGAGGATTTAATGGAAGGGGGGTGTAACAATTGCAAGCAAAGTTTTAGTTGGAAACTCTGAAGGAAAGAGAGAACCTGGAAGACCTGGGTGTGGATTGAATTCGTTTTAACTGAAGATCCACTTGCAGATTCTTATGAACATGGAAGTTAACTTTTGTGTTCTAAAAAAGAAGACCCAGAATTTCTTGAGCAGCTGGGCGACTATCATTTCGTGAACAAAGAAAAAGTCGTCTGCTTCCAGACGAATTTAATCGTAGTACCATAAAATAGATCACTACTGTTTCTTATCCACTGCTTCTATTTTTAGAGTGTAAGAATCACATTCGAATATAATGGGCCATAAATCGAATTATCACTGAATGCTGCGGAAAGCCAATAATAAAAGCACGTGTTACCTGCTGCCTCCGAATGGCGGCATTTTCAGCACTTCCTGCCCAAAATTCTGCTAAAAATCGCCCTGCGTACTTTACTAGAGCTCTATATTAAAAAAAAATAAACATCACAAGATATTAATAGTAGAGTGAATTTACCGACTACACAACACATTTTTTATTATCACTACATGTTTCGACCTCAAGAGGTCATCCTCAGGTGTATGAACACGGCTGTATAATTACACGCGGTCACATTCACTTTTCACTCATTCGATCCTGTATCTTATCAAGATTTACGCTCACTAATATACCGAGTTCTTTTATAAAACACAGGTTAAAATTATTATTCTAATTTAATTGTTAAAAGTTAAAAGTTCGTGAATCGAAGTTCAATTCATGTCACTGGTTACACTTTCACTTGTTGTTTACAGTCTCATTTTACTTACGCTCACAACTGTGTCTAGTTCTTTTTAATTATTATTATTATTGGTTAAAAGTTCGTGAATTAAAGTTCAACTTAAGTTATTGGTTGCACTTTCACTTGTTTGTGAGGTCTCGCNAAAAAACGTGTTGTGTAGTTGGTAAATTCACTCTACTATTAATTAAACACACAACAGGATGCAAGAAACGATTAAAATAACAAGATATTGCTGGGAAAACCGGAAGGAAGGAGACCAGTGGGAAGACCAAGACGTAGGTGGGTGGAAAATACTAAAATGGATCTTAGAGAGATAGAATGGGATGGTATACAATGGATTGATCTGGCTCAGGACAGGGACCAGTAGAGAGCTCTTGTAAACACGGTAATGAAGCTTCGGGTTCCATAAAATGCTTCGGAAATTCTTGGGTAGATGCACAATTGGCAGCTCAAGGGCTCAGCTCCATTAGCGAGAGAGTGAAGCATCAGAAGTCTTGGGGCTGCTCGTGAGTGCTCAGAAATTGAATCATTTCTGTGGTAGTGGCCATTTTCAGTATAATGTTGATTGAACAGGTATAATCCATGGATACAGTATTCCGTTATTTCTACTACGTGTTAATTCCATAATCTCCCTCATTACGGTTTAAATAATGCTTACATTCTGAACGACGGATATAAAGTACACGTACCTGCGGAATCGTCAGTTTCTTACAGATTTCTGCCACAAAGTTGCGTGCTCGGGCATAGCGTGCGAATGAGACATTAGTCCAGGACGAGGACTGGTTTCATGTCAAGTTAACGCTTGTAAATACTAACCGTAGTCAAATCTTGGAGCAAGCAGCCAATTGGAGGACTTAGAACAATAATCGCACAAACGCCTCAGTATTCTAATCTACATGAACAAGACGAAGACGAAGATGAAGGGATAATTGTGGTAGTGGTTTCATCATTTAAAGGCGCGTCCACATTACTCGTGCTCGTGCTCGCCAGGCCTGTGCTCGACGGGAGACTCGTCTTACTTGTGCTCGTAAATCTTCGTCCACACTACTTCAGTTGCTCTCCAGGCTTCGGCGCGTGAGGATCCGTATATTTACTCGTAGTGTGTATAGGCTGTAGTCGTATTTTAATTTATTGGCTATAGTTTTTAAATTAAAAATTTTAAATTTGCTTGTCTCCTGACTTGTCATATCGTCCACATTACTCGCGAGCATAGCGAGTCACACGAGCACGAGTAATGTGGACTCGCCTTAAGTTGAACTGTCACCAGGAAGTATCTGTTTTGTAC